CTCCCACGCTTTTAATTGTATCAGTTGCACTTCCCGGTCACTCCTTTCACCATCAGGAACCGAGCTTCATTCATTTAATCAGCTACATATCGATGCATTGGTGCCTGATGTATAAACATGTACTACTTATCGTAAATTATCCTCTTAACGGCACTTCAATCACGTTTGCTGTTGTTAGCAGAATCTGACTCACTTACGCAACGTTGAATCATAGCACTGATTCATAAATGAAGTCGTTCAGCAAGTCCTGCCCCCAGCAAGCACACCCGGCGTTCCAAATGAGATATTTGCGAGGGAAATATTCTTCCTGGGTGCCATCATATGAATGACCAGACGAGGGTTGTCGGATTCTCATGTGGCACGAACTGCAAAACCAGTGACATGCTTTAAAGATCTTTTTCCCCCCATTTATTGAGATACGGCTTACTGTAAGGTATATATATATAAAGAAATATATATATACTATGATTCGGGAAGAGGTACTTTTCGTAAACAACTGCTTTTTCAATCTCTGTGGGAGGAATCCACGAGTGAACTTTTCTCGTGAAAAAAAATTTAGAGAATGATCTGATGTTAATCACCGGTTGGATTAGAGATCCGCTCGGAAACACGTCTTTCAATGGCTTGGAGCCCTATCAGCCTCCGTAGCTCGGCTTCTGAAGAGTTCCTTTTTTCGCTGGTATTCTGCAATTTGGTTTATTTAGAAGGAAACAAATTATTCCCGGCACCTGCTGGCAGCAAGTATCTAAATCCAGTGTTCAGGTCAATTACGTAAATTTCACGAGAATAACTTTGTCTCTGACCGAACCGTATTCTATTTGGGAAAACAGTATTCAAATGTCTAAAATGAATAATATTGCATAGCGCTCATTTGATCTATATCTCCATTTATGGAGACCCGAAGGGAAGTAAGTCACGAATGACTCTACGCTTGATATGCAACCTCGTAAATAATGCGAATTTTATGCAATTGCACGACGAGTTGATGTTTCTTTTAGTTCATTCACCTGTGTGAGAATTGTTTTGATCCTGAAACGTCCAAGTTATGTCACCAATGAAAACGGTTCTACAAACAACGGACACCTTCCATTTTTTTCATTTTCTCCGTAATTATCAAGAATGTTCCTCACCTGGAACTATCAAGCGATGGCCCATCTTTCAAGGGCTATAAAAGAGTATGGATTCCACCTGAATATGTAACCGCAATAGAGATGCGTAAGGTGATAGTTGTGGTTATCCCACTTCAACCGACCGCTAATTTCTGCAATTTTCGGACGTATGTTGGCTACCTAGGTTTGCTCACTGTTCTCTGACATTAATCCTTAAGTTTTCCCATCTATATAAAGATGAATTCTATCGCTATTGATAAATAACTGATGAAAACTATGGCTCCTGTCTGTTGCGCAGCATGGTTTTCCACGTTTGCGATCTATCCGAGGGTATTGCAAAATGTTGACCTCCTGTTTATAGGCTAGTCGTTTATCCATCATCACACCACAGTACTGAGTTAGTATTTACAGGGGGTGAGGTTCAAAGCATTAACGCAGGAAATTCGAACATTTCATGCGATATTTCAAAGGAGGCCCCACTTTTGCTTATGCGCAATCGATGGAGGAACCGTGGTTCACAGTCTGAGTGATGGCAGGGAGTTGGAGAATGTGATGTAACAGATATACTTCTCCAAACAAGGTGAGAGACAGCGAGGTTTATCTCTGTATATTTTCAGGTTAATCTGTAATGAGTTGATGTGCACTTGCACTCGGAGAAGCCACTTTATAGTATCCACCTATCCCTCATTGGCTATACGATGAAATAAATGCACTCGTCCGTACAGCGTCTACTTCATGTTTCGCACTGATTTCAAAGTCACATTAGACATCGAACCTCACATGCCGCATCCCCTTTTTTCCGATCATGAAGATACGGAATTTTTTCAACTAAAAGGATATCGTCCATGTACCGTGGCTAAGAGGTAACTGTAATTTATCATAAAGCACCAAGACACATCTGTCCACGCTCCTGTTCTGGTATGGAAATACTACACCAATTATGTAAGACAATTCGGAAGATGGATGTAAAAAGTAACTAAATGGACATCCCCATATCACTGTTCTATTGTGAGCAGATTTTTCGACAATTCCGGTTGATTAATGGTTATTATGGCGCATTTCATTATCCCTTAGTCCTTGTATACTCAGACCTAATTCAGGCAATTGGGATAGAGTAAGACACAGGTGCTTCATAATCGGTCGGCATAGCAATGGAAAACAGAAACCCGGACCACATGATTGGGCGTAACACACACTAGCTCTGAAAGAAAATTGATACCACTTTTTCCTCGTCCATTGCCTATACCCATTTACCTGGAGTGGTCAAATCGCACTGCAGTTAGCTCGTTGATGAATAAATGAATGAATAGAACCAAATCGGTTGAAGTTTCTCAGTTTCCGTTGATGATGCTTTCCGATTCTTCTCACTGTTATTCCGTTTGACACCAATCCACTTCACTCCTAAACGAACTTCCCCAGGTGGACCGTACATTCACAGCGGTTATTGATACCCAAAACAATGGACCACCCATCCCCTTTATGGTGATGAACAACTGTTTACAGTTGGAATGGTCTTGAAAGCAGCTTATTATAACCAGTAATATTGCATAGATTAAAAGACTACACAAAGAAAAACCAATCTGCCGAAAAACGGATATCAGGAACAGTACACGATCTACACGTGAAAATGTTTCCCACTATAACAGCTATCTTTTTTCACTGAAAACACCTCTTTTTTCTGATTGGATCCCGCCGCGCAATCTACCTTGTCGAATTCAGTGATCGCGTGAATACCCTACGGATGTATCAGCCCTAAAACATTGATTACCTATCCCTCTGACCCACGAGTTTGATAGTTGATCCAAGCCGGTATAACGGCCTTGGGAAATCAGTGAACATCACCAAGCTAAGTAGGTCTGTCTGAAGTGACCTCAATGCATACAGGTCAAAATGTGTGTGTGCTTATAAATATAGGAAATACGTTTTACTTTGATGGACTGTATGAGCACCATTCTCGAAACAAATAAAACGGTTTCTGTCCTGATTAACTTTCAACAAGACAAACGCAGGTATGCTGTGTTCGGTTAACATCGGTGGTCTTTTTCCAGTTTTCATTTGTCGATCGCTTTTGGTTTGACAGAATGTGTGGATGTCAGATTTCAGAAGCAGAAACAAAAACCAGTGCATTGGAAACATTTCTTCTTTTTCTAGTTGAGAGCGAGTAAAATCTCATTGATTTACATGTTTAACCAATTTTCTGTTGCTCTGCCATAGATCTTTCATTTGAACTTTCTTGTAACAAGCATTCACGAATATATCCAAAGAACATTATTGAAGTTGTGCAACGGTTTACTCCTTCAGAATTCTCGGAGCATTTCTGGATTCGGATAGTTCTTTCATTAGGTGTTCTCTGAAAAAGGATCTGGCTTTTCACTGTTTCCATGGGTCTTGTCGTGCTTTGCGATTGCCTATGCATCGTTTCTCTCCCTTCGTGCTCTCGTTGCACGTTCTTGGCGCAACTGGAACAAACATCGAGGTGGACACTACGATTTAGAGTAGGGTCATGAAGAAGTCCGCATGTGGTGGTTCCCGCCTTCCTGGTAGAGGCCCCAGGGATAAGGACTGTCGCTGGTTAGAGGCGCTAAGAGTTCCGTCGCGGAACAGAGATAAGTGGTGACACTTTCTGTTGAAATTCCGCGTCCAACGTCTTTATATTGTTTTTTTTTATCACACACCTTAGTTTAATCAACAGCAGACGGGGAAGTCCCCGCAGTCCCGAAGATGGAAACTGGTGACCCAAGCTCCAGGACTTGGCTTGGCGATTCACATAAAGCTCCGCTAGGTTAGTCGTGGTACTGAACTGGACGAGATCAAAGCTAACTACCACCAACGTTGGGTGGTGGCGACAGGGCTCGAACCTCGGACCACGGGGTCCAAAGCACACCGGTGACAGCGACTAAACCACTGCGCCACCATCACCCATCTGTCTGTCTTCTATCATTAGCTGGTTGTTGCTTAAGGAGAGTGAGTGCTGCATGTTCTTAATGGTTTGGTGGAACAAGCTATTAAGTTGTAGGTGCTAGTGCTACAATAAACGCTTTTATTTCTTAAGGATTGGCAAGCTCACCTCGGACATATTTTCTGTATTCATTCTATGTCCACTGCCGACCAAGTGTTGAAGAAATAGGTTATCAATATTCCGAATTGTGTCATTATAGATCTCGTTTCCACCTCTGTGTTACAAAGCTCAATGGGGTATTGTACTATTCTACCCACGTGAATTTATGGAACACGCTTCGTTTATCCTTTTGGAATATCCTCGCATTTATTAATTCGTGAAAGTTGTTTTCCTAAGTTTACGTGGTAGATCTTATCCTCGGACATGCAAATTAAAATGTCTAAAGTTGTTTCCAGGCGTCTTCCCCTGACTCAGAAATTACTAATTTATCACGCATACCTCTGGTGTATGTCCGTGGGTTTCCTGTAGCTTTTTGCATCGGTCTGTGGTCGAGTTGAGTGGTAAATATGTCGGCCAGTAGAGAACCGAGTGACGAATCTATGGTGACTCACCATTATTTTGCTCACACTGTTAGTGGCATAGAAGTTGTATGTTACGTGTGCATTGCAGCATCCGTTGTTTCATCCGTTTTCAGGGAATTCCAGTCGCAACGTGGTTCTAGGTAGTGTGCTAATATGTATCTATTGTTCACAAGAGTGGTGTATTTGTTGTAGGATTTAGCGTACTATGCAAATGCTTAATACGAAATATCGATTTTTTTCCAAGTTACACTTTCACTTATTCATACTGTTTCATCAGTTTACTTCCCCGCTAAAATTGTTATCTCAGAACTCTAATCCATCTGTCTGTCTGTCTGTCTGTCTGTCTGTCTGTCTGCCTGCCTGCCTGTATGTCTGTCTGTCTGTGTGTCTGTCTGTCTGTCTGTTGTCTGTCTGTCTGTCTGTCTGTCTGTCTGTCTGTCTGTCTGTCTGTTTGGCTGTCTGTCTGTCTATCTGACTGGTTTATGGTCAATATGCTCAGGTACTTTTGAATTCCTGTATCCACATATGTACTTTGCCAGCTATCACCTTTCCTCTTGTATGCCTCCACCTTGGTTTTTATTCCATTTGTCACTGCTCTCCTTTTCGCTTGTTCCTCCTGTCCTCCTCCTGTCCCAACGGCTGTTCACCTGTGTGCTTACCCTCCTGGCTAACCATCTTCCGATGCCATTTGGTCTGATTGTGGAACCACACACACATACAAACGCACACATGTCAATGCACAAACGCTAACCGTCTCAACCCCGCGTTCCCCCACACTCCTGAAAAACCGGTACACTCACCTTTGTGCACTTCAGGACGAGGCGAGAAGCTGTGACACACGACTTGTTCAACTGAATAGAGGCGGTGGCGGTGGTGGTGGTGGCCTATCCTTTCTGGAAAAGCTTGCCAAGAGTACTACACTACTCTGTCCGGATCAGTGGCAAGCCAACGAGACGCAACTGCAAGCCGCCTCACAACGTGTCGCTGTTTTGGTAAGTGGAATAACCGCGTTTCTGGTTGGTCATGGGAACGTTGACCAAGCGGTGCAATCAAGTATGCTGGTTGAGGAAACTTGACTGTTTTGTCAATGAGTTGTCATTATAGCACATTCTATCTCTCAATCGACGTGCCAAGCGCAAGCCACGATTCGCAAAATTCCTCTGGCTGAGCAAATCATATCTGATGTCGAATGTCCGGTGAAATTGAGTAAGTGGGGACAAGATGACAAACAGGGCGGGAAGTGAAGTTGACTGACGGTCTTGTCCTCATTCTGACAAATCAGAAAGCCCAGTACAAAGTACAATTTCTTCTAACGTACCCGGGGCCCCTAGTGGGTTCGTAATAGAGTGGGTTTTTTCATTTTGTAAGAATCCAATGGTGTATACCGAATTCGGATGACGCTATTTCATCGGGTTTCACCTAACGCTCTCTAATGTGAGGTGGATACGTAATGGATCGTTGGCTGATTATGCCAAAAACCCAGTGGTGAAAACTATCGATTCTTATCCTACAAAGAGAGAAAGGAAGTGAGATACGCGATTCATACGAAGAGATAGAAAAACAACACAGAGAAAAAACCTTGAAAATCAATCTTGTGTCAAACTGCCTGAGGTAAGGGTTAATGAGCCCTAATGAAGTGGAGGGAAAATGAATGAAATGAATGATAATCGGTCAGCAAAATGACAAACATAATTCAGGCGTTTTCATAGGGTGTTATTGAGTTCAATGAAAAGTCTTCCCTTGAGTTGGTACTCAAACCTGATTGTTTCTTAAGTGAGTTTGCGTTTGATCGATTCGCGGCTGGCCATCAGTTTGATGATTGTTCCCCGATACAGGACTTAGCGATGCGCCGGGGAGCATCAGAAAGAAAGTTGTTTCGTCTCTGTTAACATCAATGCATGCATGATTGATCACCACAAGAATCGAGTAACATTCATCACCTAGTTACATTGATACACATATGATTGAGATCGTATCTCACACCTTTTCATCGCCCGCTCTCCCCCCGCCACGCACACGAACGCAACTACACAAACCAATGATCGTTTCATAACTACTCTCTCTCGCTCTCTTTTCCAAACTACCGCCCTGAGTTGTTACTCTCGTAACTCAAACCGGCACATACAAAAACAAATATTTAGCTGATATTTCTGCGTTATTCGTGTCAATATGGACATTTCCCACAGTTTCAATTCTTCGAATTTCACTTGATAACTACAGTTTTTACGCAATCATCCTTTGTTTCGCATCAACCATATAAAACGGTTTTGAAGTAAGAACCTTATTATTAATATTATTATTATTATCGTATTATTTGCAGTCGATAAGCCTTTCAAATATGAATTAGTTTTATTCCTTTGTTCTTTGTGAGTTGGAGCCGTTATCATGAATGCACGCGCATGGTTGATTGCGAGAGAATGGGTCTAAACTGAAATCCGTTTATTGATCGCTTCTTTGGCCAAAAAGGATCCCCATTTTAGCTTTCTAAAAATCCTGTTGGTTATTTTGCGACGATAATACAACTTGAAGTACTAAAGTCCCCGGTCGACGTTGAGGTCACGAGGTCAAGGACAGCTTCTGATCAGTGGTCTGTCGCAGATCAAACGGTCAAGTAAACTTCCGGCAAACAACCGCACGACTTTATACACACACACACACACACACACAACATTGCGAGTATGTCGATCAGCTGTAAAATGGCACGAATTTCTTGCAAGTCAGGCACGAAAAAGTGTTCGACATATGGGTACTGGCTAACTATATAGTTTGTTATGAGGAATTGCGATACTGAAAATGGGGAAGTACATGATCTGTGCTCCTTGAGGCGAATATGATATAATCTGCTGATAAACTGGAAAGGAAGCCGTATCACCAAAGTTATGCTGTTAGATTGTTTTCGAAGCTGAACCGATCGCATGTATGTGTGGTGCTGTGGCCTCCCCAACGCCACTCAAATTAAGAGTCCAATGCGAACGGCAGTGCACTAGTTTTAACACTACTATTCTTCGTGCTAGCATACGCCCGGGAATCAAGTTGACAACAATTCAGGCTAGCTCAGAGGAACCGTAAACTCGCCTCACATGCTCAGTTTCGGCTAGTGCATTGAGCCACCGGGCAGGCTGACCGAATCGTGCNGGTTACTGGAACTACTGACACAATTCTACGGAATTCGTATAACATAACTTGGATGAGTTGGAATGAAAACACGAAACAAAAATTAAATTTGTTTGAGTTGAAAATAGCGCTATCTTAGATTTTCGCTTAAATTGTGTACTCGGCAGGTGAAGCAAACATTGTAAACCATGCGCATCACGATGTGTGAATTGTACACAAACCTATGCCGGAAATGAAACCTTATTATTATGGTAACAGGATACCATTGTTATTAGAAGTAATAGTAAGTATTGTTACTAGTTATAACCACATAGAAACTCCAAGATCACAAAATTTCAGCTTTCCCGGAAAGCTTTGGTTAAATCAACTAAAAGGGTCTCTGAAACTCGCAAATTGTTGCAATAGTTGAATTTCAAATTGTGAATGTGACCAATACACGTCACGCTCCTATTTCTGCGTCTGGAAAAGTCTTAGAGATTTCTAATCAATGGTCTAATCACGGAGGCACGCAGTAAGATGCACCACGTCTGCTAGATGACTATTAGGCAGAAGCAGTCACATAGACAAGGAATTTGGGTGTTAAACATGGTATACGAATTACTAAAAGATGCGCTAACGAGTTGGACACCTATCAATATTTTGAAAAAAACGAAACCTAAGCGATGAACTAAAAACTACGCAATCGTTTCATCCCACGATCTTCATTTAACCCTAGGAGATTTTTTTCGAGACAAGCCCATTTCGAAGAATTGTTACCATGATTCTATACCAACTTTCGTTCCTCAGACATGTTTAATATCAGTAAAAGGGGTACTGAAACCGGCTTCGCGGTTTCCGCTCCATACCCGGTTTTCTGTCAGTCACTTTTACACCACCTAATATCAGGCCATTGAAAATCTACTCTAACATCTAGTATTTAGGCTAGTTATGTGATATGAATAAAAGAAACGATACCATAAAGCTATTCTCCAAGTTTGCCTTCTTCAAATTTCACTTTCTGTGATTCGAATGAGGATGCCGGAATGAAGGCAACAGATAGGAAACATTTATAAAAATATCTTAATAGAAGAGTGCCGAGCCACAGGACCTAATAATCTCTAATAACCGCAAAATTATACCTGCGCTTTCTGAAAATCCGTCCCCTTGTTATTGTACGACCTACAATGGCCAAATCGTTTATCAGGCAACGAGAACATTGCATATATATTCCCATTATCCGGTTATTTTGTGATTGTCTAAGCATAGGTTAACACAGAATGTACAACTACACGATTGGAACATCTGTTGGGATCAATAGACCATTGTTCAATCGAAGCAAAAGTTATTCTTATTTTAACCCACTCCAGATAACCAACTGTTTAATCGAAATCAACTTTGAAAAAATCATTATTGTCGGCTGGTAAGGAGTGTCTAATAACAGTTGTGAAAAGAAAAAGCTTCACGAGTTGCAGGGTATTATGGACATACATTAGTTACTATTCCACATAGTACAAAAATGAGACAAACAAATCATGGATGGCAATGGAAATTTCCCGCTTGTTTCTACATCAGTGCTCTGGGCGGTTATGCTACTCGCTCGAAGAAGCTAGAGTGAAGACTAGACTTGAGTGAATTCAGCTCGAGTCTTCCCCAAGCAGAGTTTGTCCCATGAAAGCACGAAGTTTTGAGTTTGCAACCCCAAAGAATCCCTATTCCATAGATCAAATGGGAAGTCGACCTTTGGACAAATCGGCCTCAACCGCTGTGTTTAGTACGTCCTATCGACAAATGGAGATATTTCCTAGTTGTAGTCGATACTCCTCGAGGTTGCCGTAAACTCAGGGAATATCAATAGCCCTAGACGGTTTAGTTTCCGTTGGCTCATTAAATCGGGTTTGATAGCTTCGGAAATTTACCATTTGTTCTCTCACACTATTCAAACTTCGCCGCAAAGGGAAGACAAAGAGTGGAGCTTTCACAACACAGGCTGTGAATGCGGGTCCCTGGGGTGCGATAGGAGCATTTTTGGAGGGTTCTGAGGCGATGAAATATATATGCTGAAAATATCTCCCTCCCATTCGTCAGAACATATTGAGACGTTAGGCAACTTGAAGTTTGTTCTCCTCCACTTGATTAGGTTGTATGTTTATTTGTTGTTGTCAATCGACGACTGTAATTTGGTGCACTCAAGTTCATAATGTTATGTCAGTTAAAATCATATTCTCACCAAACAATATTTCCAATCACAGTATTTTCCGATTGATAGTCAATCACGTGGACGACAAGGGGTCCAGTTCAAAACCAGAGTGTGTCCAGTTCAGCAGCAACAAGGCATGCGGGAGCTTAGATTCGATTCGATCAATTTTGAAGTCTCCGCTCCCCCCGCAGCCAAACCGGCTTACACAATACTGCACTGAACATCTATACATGCGTCGATCGATGCAAGACATGATTCATGTGTGTAAATGTTCATACAATTGGTATTTTATCCAAGGGTTAAATTAAGTAAATAACCCTATGTTCAATACATAATTTTAACGAATTATAAAATATGTAGCATTTTTCACCTATGATCACAATTGAAACAAGCTTATGGCGACCTTAAACATTCCATTACCAAGACGTAGAAATCATTCAGTCAGACAGGGTATATTTTTTGCAGCACATTATTAGTTGAAACCCAGGTAAGCACTGTCATCATCTTCATCGTCATCGTCATAGAAAACGTTTTTTCTATCGAAGCACTAAAAATATCTGTGCAAATTGCTATCAGTTTAAGCAGTTCTCATGTAGCGTCGAATTAAAAGGAACCACTTCGTTTTCCTTCCTCCTTCAGGAATCGACCATCGCCTCACAGCAACGTGAACTCACTGTGCTCAAACATCAAACGGAAGCTGAACGATCTAAAAACGCCTTATTTGTAAGTTCACTAATCAGTTACCCATCAATGGCGTCTGATTTTTCTTTGGGAGAAACTGGTATGGATTAAAAATATTTCTATTTCATTTATTGATATTCGTTTGTAATCTGAAGAAAATGTTAACCACCTACTCCTGAATCGATTCGTGGAACATCTTACGCAAGTTGGAAAACCGCAATGTCTGTAGATCACATTAATCCGGGAAAATCACTCCTTTTGGATCAGACCAGTGAATCTATTCCACCTGTCTCGCTTAGGCATTATGTAATGTCTAATCATTGACACATTGTTTCTGGATGGATTTAATACGAGGTGAAGAATATTTTGCCCTTTTGTTTTCCCGTAATCAGTATTGATAAGAAATTGGAATAAAGATTCGAAAGTTCTACCTAAATGTGTGATATATTATTTGATATTTTCCAACTAAAATCCACAGATCTCCTACGAATTTTTATTGATCCAAATGATTGTGTTCATTGAAATAACTTTTCACTGTCAACAGTAATTTGCCTGAACTTGCATCAGTGAACCTATCAATAAGTGTGCACTGATGCTAACGCAGAATCCGCCCAAGGAATGGGAAACTTAGATCTCACTAATTCATCCGATCAATAGGACATGACCCTATCCCGGGAAGGTCACGTACGGACAACTAACATTTTTTCTGTGGTAAAGCTTGGTGGAGTTGACCAACATATTGTTCTCTGGCCGCGGTGACCCGGCGGTAAAGGTCACCAAATTATCACTCCGAAGGAGTTCAAATCCGTTCTGTTCAAATCCCACCACCGCCGCCGCCTGACTCTCCCCGTTCTGCGTTTAATGGCACTATTTGATTGGCCGCTTCTCCATTCCTGAAAATTATATCATGATACATCCAATAAAAGGAAGTAAAAACGAGGGAGAAAAAAGAAAACTTGAATTCCATCGAGTTAACCATCATTTCGATTTTTTGAATTTGCATTTTACTAGTTACATTTGCTATGAAATTTTGCTTTATGTGAGTCGACCGTGAAATGTTTCGACGTGCTCATCTTTATCCTACTCATATGTCAACATTGCTGTATCCATCCGAACGCCCTTGTAAATCGATGTCACGCTCGTTTTTTTATAGAATACATGTATGGCTGANTTTGATGATAACGAATCTACGTAACCAAAAGAGTAATAGCATTTCCCACTCCAACGGCAGTTACATTGCTCGTGTCCTCGGTTGAGTCATAGCCCCAAATAAAAATCAGCCTGTTGTGAAGTTCTACATGAGGGCTATGATGAAACGCTTTTGGTGAATGAGACTGTCTGCAGGTTCCTTTTGACATATCTAAGCGTTCCAAATGACCAAATCAAACATTTTTCTAGCCCGTCATTGTCCGGTATTATCTCATGTCCTTCATAAGCGAGCCTTTCCGCAACCACAATGGGGCGTGTACTTAAAGAGGACGTCTTTTCATTAATTCCGTATCACGTACGCCCCAAAATACAATGCAGAACTTAATGTGGAATGATTCACGGAGGAATCATTGCCTATTAATGCCATGGGCATAGAGCACATTAATGAATGAGTGTGGATATTATAACAAAGTTCTGAGTCCAACGTTTTCGGAATGTCGTTCTATCGTCTGTATAAGATTCACCGAAAAAAGAAAAATGCGTCCTATGCACTGTATTTTTGAAAAAAAACGCTTTAGTTACCCGTGCGAACACCGTATTCTGCGTTCCATCCCGCAAGTGAACTTCCCATTTTTCGATCGATAACATTTCTTCTCAGTCAGACGTAGAGATAGTGGAAATTCTCATGACAATGCTCGTATTATCGGTCCAAAGATTGCAGTTCTGTAATATATTTGCGTAACTCAAGCGGCATGGAAGGCCTGCAGTTGACTGCCCTCGATGTAATTTGAATTTGAATCATATGAATGTCGACAATTTACGAATAGCATTGTGTATACGCTCCTCTACTCATCTGACCGATCTAGAGGGTAAATCCCGCTTGTCGGCTACTGAGCTATTCGCCTGACGGTTGCGGTCGGTCGATTTGTGACAAATCATGTGATCCATTTAGGCAACTTGTTGGCTGCGCGGATCGTTCACTTCTGTTTCGACAACTCCTGCAGTGCCGTTCGAGGAGAAAAGCTGATCGATTTACGACAACAAAGGAGGGGGGGGAGTGACTTGTCAGTTCATTGTATGCTCTGGTTTGTCAACCAGGATGCGCTAATTTTTTTAGAAATGATTAAATTCATTTCGTTAGAAACATGCACAAAAGATTTGGCAGAGATCTATAGAACATAAAACTATCGACTCTTAAAACTTTTAAACTGTAATCAATAACTGTCCCGTTACTTTTGTGTTATAAACTAGTTCATCATTTACATTCTATTAATTATATCGTTTTCTGTTAGTCAGATGAACACACCGATCAGTACAATTCGTACCGGATATTTTCTTACCTTTAGGTGTGGTGATCAGGTAGTTTCTGACCACATGCGTATGCACATACACATCAGTGTGCGTATGATAATTACAAGACACAATTCCCCCAGATAGTCATTAAATGGGACACTACGAAAAAGCGACAAGCTTACTGAGAAAAGATGCGTACCAAATTCGTTTGAGCTACAGACAAATTACGTTTATTGAAACCAACGACCATGCGTCTTTTATGTACACTTTTTCAAACCCATTGAGACTCATATGCGGGCGGTGAAAAATGTTTCTCCTTCAAACATATGAAACATCTTTCATCCATTTATCCACTTCAACAACTCCTATCGTATATTAATTCAGCTCGATCTCATTTGGCTGTAAATACACATTTATACAAACGTGTTAAACATACAAAATACGTGAAACGATTCCCTTAGTCAAGGTGGTGAACAAGCAAGTTAATTAATCACGTTTGGTTACCGGGTGAGGTCAGACTGAATGTGATTATTTAATCCTCTTGTTCACCAAACTGATTGAATGACTCATTTCAACTCGTACATTTCTGTGTTCAACATGTCCGCGTTCACAGCCTAATGTGAGGAGGCCAAAGTGATGATTAAACGCAATTCTGCGCACCTGCCTACTTATTGTGCTAGCAGTCTCATTGAATCCCTAGCCACTCATCACTTAGGAATGAATCTAAAGTCAAACCACTCCCACAATTTATTTGATAAACAACAAAAAAATTCAGAAAAGTGAGCTTAATATCAGCTCCTTGGAATGAATAATGACACACTTTACCGCCAGTTTAAACACGCACATACACAAACAAGCACGCATGCACGCACACTAATAGTGTGTTATGTGCATTGGAATAGCATTTTTTCAAGGCTGATAATCACCCATGTTAGCTCACACCACAAAAGGCTCCGAACATAGAGTAGAGCTAGTAATTCACGGTTTCCAAAGCACGTGAAACTTCCTAACCTGCATAATTACACTGGTGACAGTAAGCTCTTCCCTCACCATTCAACTCTGCTCCCCCAAATTTCAGCTACCAAAGTTGTAATTATCAAGTCTTTTCAGATGGGTTAGTGTTAGTGAGCAAACTGAGTGGGTTTGTTGTTTGTTTCTATACCTGCTCGTGTTCTCTTCCATTCTAGCATGTGGTGATTAGTCAGCACGTGGAACCAGTCCGGGTTTGCTAATTCATTTCATGATTCGGTTATTTGGAATTCACTGCGACCATTGCTTAGAAAAGCAAAAAATTTCCGATTCCACAGGATATTAGCGTGATAGCGAAGTGTGACGTTTTTGCTATTTCGCGCAGCCATGTATCGTTATGACCACAAAATTGATTCACCCACTCTTAGATACAGCTTATCTTTTAAAAAAATGTAAGACATGAGAAAATGGACAAACTAACAAGTTCGTTTCACGTTCTGTTTCTCACGCACACAAACGTTTATCGCAAATTGGCTCCCCTAGCCCCCGATAAACCCTCTGAAGAGAGAGGCGTGGTGAATGTAAGAGGAAGGGCAGTTGCATTGAATGAACGCATGCGCATGTATGAACGCACGCCGTCACGTGACAGCAGAAGTGTAGATGATCACGCGGACGACAGCGCTCGGGCGACCTCACCAGCCCCGAATCTAACCTCTGGTTGGTATATCTGTTGGTCATCAGGTGGAAACACGCACGCATCAGTATATATAGATTGGTCAGAGTGTTCGGCATCCGACGCACCTACCCATTTCATAAAAAAGGAAAATGAGAGAGGGAGGGAGAGAGAGACGCGCATAGTCCTGAAGACAGTGAGGACAGGAAAGAGGATAATTAGGAGGGTCAACTCTCTTGATGACCGCAATCGGTAAAAAACCTATGGGTGACGAATGAACGATCGTCATCTGATTATAAACATTAAACTTTATATGGGATAATATGGTATGTACTAATAAAATCCTGGAGTTTTCAAATCTAAGATCTTACTGAGATGTACGCACTTTAACGGTCTCAATAAACAGACTAAGGAAGATCAACGCATACATGTTTTTCATTTAGCTTGAAGATGTTACTGGTCAACTATTCACTCATTTGAATCACAGAATCTACCAGTAGAACTCCTACTTCTTCGTAAATAGTAAAGCGTTAAAGCGTTAAACGTATCTCAAAATGATTTGCCAATAATCAAAACGGTTTTGCGCTTCGATGAGGTCAAATCACATCGACTGATTATCGTGGTCAGCGTTATTCGCTGAACAAAGTCCTCGGAAGCTGTGATCTGTGGATGCTACAGTTATGTTAATCGTATCAAAGTAAGTCGAGCTGAGTCACAAAAGCTTGCTGACCACCTCTTCGCGCGCTTTCTCTCGTTCGGGTGTCCAAAACATTGATTATCTTTATGGTAATGTTAAAAGCAAGTCACACTAAAATAGAGGTATACGGTGAACTCTCACCGTCCTTTAATGAAAAGGGATAATGTTTATTTCCCTATACTGTTCCTACAGGCTCGACTGTGTCCTTTATTGGCCTGATGAGGAGTACCGAAGAAACAAGTCTATCTTTGCCACTTTCTG